CCTATTTATTTCAGTACCCCCTTCCCCTCCCCCATTTCTGAAGAAGGCCCTAGGCCCAAAATGTCAGCTTTCCTGCTCCTCTGATGCTGCTTGGCCTGCTGTGTTCATCCAGCTCTACACCTTGTTATCTCAGATTCTCCAGCATCTGCAGTTCCTACTATCCCCGATAGTCTCTTTCTGAGTATTTATGGTGAAGCAAATGATCCATGTTTTCTCACTCAAAAGTGAATTGACTGAGAGAATTCTTTAGCAAAAAAATACAGACACTTATATGTGGCAAAAGTATAGTAGAGATAATGTTAAATGATGATGCCACCTGGAAAACTATTGAGATTCTTCACTGCATTATGACAGTTGAAATTTTCTAAGTAAGAGAAGTTCATAAGCTTCTAATAATATTTTTACATAGACATTAGAGGAATATTTTCATGAAAAGTATGACTCATAAATTTGCTTTCTGTTTCAGTGTTAACTTTTCAAGTTCAATTTTAACATCAAAAATGGGTGGAATAGAGTTGTATAAGATACAATTGTGTAAGAAAATGTAACAACCCGATACATCTATTTCCAGTTTCAACAGAGCCAGGACAAAAAACAGGTGGCAGATCTGATTCCAGGAGGTGAAGAGGCAAATTAAATTATATTAAATCTGGCAGACCTTGCAATCCTGGTAGTTAAAGGAAGGTAGGAACATCATGCAGAAAAGTGCATTTATAGCACATCTTGTGGGTCAGGAAGAGCAGAATGCTTCACCCAACCCTGGGTCCATCAATTTCCCTTCTCTCCCGTAGAAAGGTCCATAGAATTGGGATTTGGACCACTTCCTTGAAGCAGACCATCTCCACACCATTCTGAGCATTGGGAGCCAGACCTAAAGTACTTATTCTGACAGTCTATTGCTGAGTTCAACCCATAAGGGGTGAAAGGCAAACCTGTCAATCAGAGTGACTTCTGAGTCAGGAATCTGTTAAGCATAAAAGATGCAAGCTTTGGGGTTTTAAAAACTATACTCCCACTCTCCCCACAACAGTCTAATCCTCCCCTGTTATTATCCAAGACTTCATCTTTACTTCACGTTAGAAAAAATCTACATATTCTAACTAGCTTTTAACTCACCAGGAAATTCTTCCCTGTGTTTCTCTTTTATTTTTTGTGCTTCATCATAGTAGGGTTTCTTTTGTTCTTCTGTCAGCTTGTTCCACTCCAGGCCAAGTTGGACACTAATTTCAGCATTATTCGCATTGGGGTTTGCCTTGGCTAATGATGGTCTGTGAATTCGAGCCCAAACCATAAATGCATTCATTGGCCGTTTTATATGCCCACTTCTGTCTTTGGAGGGTGGCATATCATTGATTTCTAAAGCCAGAACAAAGGGAGTAACTGTACAGATGGTTGAAAAAAATTGTCATTGGAGTAATGTAGTATGTTAAAGAGTTTTTTTAAAAAGCCTTAAAATCCTGAAAGCACTAGATTTTGTTTGTGTGTTGGGTGCACAAAGTTGCAAGCATGCCCAGCTGTGCGAACCCAGCCTTTAAAGTGCCTTTCTGGAGAGCAGATTTTTGGTGCAGAGGCCGCTAGGCACAGAGGGTATGCTGGGCAGAAGGCCTACTTTGGCATAACATCACTGTATGAAGTTTCAGAAAACAAAGGGAATATTAAATAGCCCACCAGCCTCACCCCTCATACTTTTTCTCCACAAGCATTCCCCATGCCTCATCCATGCCTACCCCACTCCACATCATCTCATTCCCATGCCAGCTCATGCCTCTCTGACCATATTCATGGGCCTCATATCCTCCACACCAATTTGTGCCAGTGTACCTGCTCCCACATTCCTATGCCAACATTGTGCCAATTAATGCCAACCCATGATCTCCATTCACCATCTGTTGACCTTACATCTAAGTATGCCATTTCACCTGGTAGCCACTTTTGACAAATGTCAGCGCCTATGCAGGGATATAGTAAGATAAGTTTCCATAAAGTTCTAAAAGTCTATTGTAGACTTCACTCTATTGAAAAAAAAAGCACTCTCCTTCATAAAAACCTACTTACTACATTTATATTTCTTCAATAACATCATATCAGGATGCGTTTAAATGACTGATGAATTTGGATTTGCCTATTATGTGAATCATGGCCCACCCCTTTCTCGTACTAACAATAATTGGATCTGTCAGAAATGGGGAGGGGACTTTTCATGCAGGTTATGCCTGCCATTTATACATATTTGCAGTATTTTCTTGACTCCACAGAAGTCTGGCCCTGCGTGCGTCAGTCAAAAATCTTCAATCTGGTTGGTTAGAGTGCTCCGCTATTTTTTTCTGTTTTGTTCATTAGTGCACTGTAGAGGCACTAGGTTACAGCACATCTCCACAAAAAAACTCTGTTGGCAACTTTCAGTGTGATCAACAGCCAGAGCCGACCCTTTGTTGCTGGTAGCAAAGTCTGGGCTATTAACTGCAGCTTTGAGAAGCCTTTGTCCACTTAGCAAATTCACAAAGATTGTACTTGTTGACTGTTTAGCCTTCAGCATGCTTATTGTTCTGTCAGGAGAAGGAGGGCCAGTTGTTTCCAAGATAAGATTGACCCTAACAGGAGCTTGGAACTAAGTGAAGCCACTGTAGCAAACTAACTCAGTATCTGAGATATAGAGGCTAGCAGTATTATAGGGCACTGCTGATGGATAACCTAACCAGGTTCACAAATGGAAACCCCCTGTCACTAGGGGTTCAAATTGCTACCATACTTCCAAACTGTATAAATAGTCTTCCTAATGTTTGGATAGCCCATGCTGGATGTTCTGAACTTGAAACCTGTAAACTTTTTAAATTATAGTAGTATCTCAATGTTAAAGAAAGTGGAATATACTCTTGATGAGAGTGCGTGTACTGCACTGCCCAACAGATGGACAGAACTCAATTAGCTCGGTTTGGAATCTCTTAAACATACTGAGGTATTCATCTGCATAATAGATGCTTGGTTAATCAATAAGTGTAATCAATATATGTAAGTGTTGGATTTAGCCAATGAGGTACTAAGTGAACTTGAAAATCCTAGTTTAATTCTGGTCTGTGCAAACAGTTGATCGCAGATATGGATTAAAGGTGGAATTAGAGTGGTTTCAGAATTTGCATGAGGAAGTTTAGGATAAACCATTTCTGAAAATGCAAAACTGTAGAGTTCAGTGAAAACTTGGTTCTGATTTATCCTAATCACGTATTTCCAATGTTTGCACTTGAAGATTGGCCACTTCAATTAGGTGCTACTGACAGCCTTGGAACAATAACCCAAAAGCAGATTTTGTCTTAAAGAGAGGAATATCAAGGGAACAAGAGTTGGCAGAAAAACTGCAGCAGGAAATATCTGTTAATACATTTAATTAATCAGCCTATAATTTGTTTTAGTTCTCCAAAATGTTAGTGTTCTTCAAACATCCACTCTCTCATGAATATTTACTAAGCTTTCAACATGCATGTGTTACAGCTGTCATCCTGAAAATTTACAGTTTGCTACAAAAGGAAAAAAATGCCATTAAAAAGTTCCTCACAATAATCATTGCTCGTATATTTTAAAACAATAAGTATCAACTCCTCAACCTAGGACAAGCAGCAACAAGCTACTCTCACACTTTGCAGTACTACACACGAACAAAATGTGTATGATTTGTGTGCATTTATGATTAAGATTGTGGCTGGTTAGCAAAATGTTCATTTTGATGTTAAAAATACCCCTCAAGAATACATTGCATTCAAATAAAATTCAAAAAAAGACAATATTAACTCTCTTAACAGTAAGGATATACAAAAAGGTACCTGCTTCTGTAGGAGGAACAGTAAGGGGAACATTTATAGTATTTATTTTCAAGGATGGATCCACTTGCGTCTGTAGCCTGATGTCACCCAGATTGTTTGATGCTAGTGGTCCAGATAATTTGGCAAATTTGACCACATCACATGTGGAAGATGATCCTTGAAGTTGAAGTTTGATTCCAGGTGGAAGTGGGTGTAAAGTTATAGGCAGTTTCAAATCACTATGTTGTGTCCCATCAGTCCCATTCAGATCCTTCAAGAACAATAAATCTTTAGTCTGTTGAGTTCCTCTGTTGGAATTAGAAGGTTTATAATGCTCATCATCTTCTAATTTTATCTTTTCATTCACATGTTGGCCAGTAATATTTTGATCACCAAAGTCTTTTCTTGAGTTTAACCCTGAAACAAACTTATTTTCACTCTGAAAAACAAATGTAAAATTATGTCATATTAAAGAGAAAATAAGGAATGTGATAATTAGTTTAATATTTGAGCTCCTTGTTGACTCAATTAATTAAAAGGGCCAACATGTATTGTGAAACTATTCTATAGAAACTAGATATTCAGAGGTTCCATTCTAAGTCCACAGAGCGAGAGCTCAAGAAAGCAGTGAGGTGTGGAGATTGATATCAAAGCCACAGATCTACAATGAGGAATAAACAGCCAGAATGCTACCTCCCAATTTGTTTGGTGACTCCTGATAGAAACAGCATGTGTATGGATTCTTTGTTAAGAATGAGATTCAGAATGAGATCCATGGGTGAAATGCTTGTTGAGACACATGATCAATGTTTGCACATGAATTACATGCCAGCAAAAGCAAGTGCTGTAAGAATGGAATTTTTAAATTTGTTTTTGGTAGTTACGGAGTTAAGAAGGCATTATAGAACAGTACTAAACAGACAATTAATCTCATAAGTGAGGCAACATAAAGACAAATAAAATCATAAAGAAGATTAGGACATAGCCTAATAAAGGAAGTAATGGCAAGGATCAGTAATAGCATTGTGTGCCACTTTCAACATTACTTGCTGCTTTTGCTTCCATTTATGTGAAGACCATTGTAAAAGAAAATTCAACGGGAAAGATAAAGACTTTCAAGCTGCTGCTTCTCCACCTCCTTGTTCAATATTGCATTAACATCAGTGCAGCTGTCCAGGAATGTTTCTCAAACATGGTGTGACTCAAGGAGTTTTCAACGACGGAAGTTCAACTCTGAATGCCTCAACATAACTAATGTTTTCAAGAAATCAAAGTTACAATTTGGGTAAGAGAACAATTTCTAATAAGAAATGTGTTTTTTGGGGCTTTTTATTCCCTCTAATTTCATAAATTTCTCAAACCAAAGGCTAATCAAGCAAATAACTATGTAATGCTACATCTAACCATATATTGGGAACTGTGACTTGTGGTTATGTTACAGGATTAGTAAATCCAAAGGCCTGTTCTAATAATTTAGAATCTTGAGTTCAAATGCCATCTGGCAACATGGAAACTTAAATTCAGCTAATTACATCTTCATGCCTCTTTTAGATTGATTATGCCAACGTCCTCCTGGCTGATTTCCCACACAGTATCCATCATAAACATGAGATCATCCAAATCTGCAAAAACCTCCAAAACTGCACCAAGTCCCATTCATTTATCACACCTATGTTCACTAAGCCTCCAGATTAAGTGAAGTTTTGATTTTAATTCTCATTCCTGTTTCAAATCTCTCAATGGCCTTGCTCTTTCATCGTCTATGCAATCTTCTCCTTCCAACCCTCTGAACATATATGCTCATCTAAATCTGCTGTCTAGTGCATTCCCAATTTTAATCATGGCACCAAAGCACCGTATAAATATTAATTGCTGAGGTATGAATAGAAAGCTAGCATCAATAACAGTGATAATGATAATGGTGACATTTGGTTCACTAATGTCTTTTGTTTAAAAAAATCTAATATTCTTACAGTCTTACTCAGTCTGATCTGTAAGTGGCTCAGCAATTTGAATAATTCTTAACTGTCTTTTGAAATTGTCCAGCAAGTCACATAGGGTTGAATTTTACATTGGGTGGAATGCTCTCCCATGGCTCAATTGAGGCTCTTAAGTGGCAATTAATGCTTGACCATGGGCTTCATCTTCCCCATTGGAATGTCAATATAGAGGCAATGGGAGAGGCCTGTGCCCAATGTGTAGCCAAGCAAGTTACACACCGTCTGTCACGAGTCCGTGAAAGGGGAGTGCCTCATTCTGAGGCCAATTAAAGACCTTTTACCCCCACTACTGTTTTGCCTTGCCAGATTTATTCTCCTTTACTGTTCTTTCCAATATGCTCCCCAATGTCCACATCCACACCTTGTAGTAAATTAAAGTGTAATTTTCTGAAAAATTAAAGTTGGGTGAGTTCATTAAGTGGAGGTGGACTTGCTCCTGGCATTTAGGACAGTTTTCCTCTAGCATCTAGTCCACCAGTTGTCAAGAAGGTGACCCAGCACCATGTTTTCAAGGGATGGACAAGAAAGGCCAGTTTTGATGCCGACCTTCTGTAAATGAACAAAGCAAATCAATCATCTTTGACAAGTTTGCTTCATTGTGTTGTTTTCACACTAGCTTTGTTGCTATCTGAACTGCTAAGACTTAATTCTGTTCCTACTCAGAAATTTATTCAGCTTTTTCTTAAAGCTATCGATCCACACTTTAGTATCTTTGACAACGGCCATCGGTTGAGCTTGAGATACAAAGACAACTATGGTGACCTGTTATGATGGGTTGATGGAAGAGTGTATTCAGTGACTGAGTATGCCTGTTATGCTAGTCAAGTTGAGAAATGCCAGCATTGGTAACTCTTAATTTTGTTCCAACAGTGCCAGCATTGTTGACTTTTATCCATGACTTTTCTGCCTTGTGATCAGAAAATATCTGCTACATGTTATAGGAGTACTCCTAAGCAACAATTAAATCAATGGTGAGTAAAATCATGCAAGGTATAAAGTCTGTGTCCATCCTGAGTGAAACTAGTTTGCATCTGGTGGGTTAGGTCATAATTTGGTCCAATATTGCATGAATTAGCAGAGTAGTCTCTTACATTGTCTGTCTTAAGTAACTGAAAATATTGGTAAATTTCATTATATGCTGTCTTGAACAATTTTTTTGTTAATAACGAATGATAATCAGCAGGTTTATGGAGCTCCTTGATTTCTCATTATGTAAAGTTTCTGCTTGGTGTTGTACTGTACCAATACAGAACAGAATATAGAGTTGATTTTGTATTGAGTTAACTGATCTTAATTGGGGTGAATCACACTGATCACAATCTCAGTGAGTTAGGGATGGAGATACAAGGAAAAGACCAGAATTCCCAATTTTACCTTTGAGTGACACCAACTGGGAAGTACACATATATGGGGCAAAGTCAAAATCAAATTCAATTAGATTTTATTTCCTGGCATCTCTGTCTGTTAAATAGTTTTAAGCACAGATTGTTTTGTACTCATTCATAAGCAAAATGTTCTGGAGAGCTGATGGTAGCTTTGGAAGAATACTCCTTCATGAATCTCTATCTTCAGAAGAGGAGGGGAGAAAAGGGAAAGAACATGAGAGGTCAAACATAGTACTAGACACACTATACAAATCACCAAAAAACAACTGTTGAACCAATGCACATACCATCCTGATTTGGAACTATATCATTGTTCATTCATTGTTACTGGGTCAAAATTCTGGTGTCTGTTTATCTCACCGACTGCAGTGGTTCTCGAGGGCAGCTCACCACCACCTTCTCCAGGGAAATTAGGAATGGACAAAAAGTGCTGACCCAGCCAGTAAATGCCTTCATCCCATTAATGAAAAGAAAGTGGTCTAGCACCGGGAAAGGGACTGAATGTGCTATTCCTGATGCATGTAAGGCTAATTTCAACTTGGGTTCATAAAGTAGTTTTTAAAATATTGTGTTACACACCATATACAGTTCAAAACAACGGGCTTAATTTTAACCTATTCAAAACTCATGCGCTTGTGCAAAGACTAAACCAGTACCAAAGCTTTACAACATTGACTGGGAGCAACATCAACACACAGTACAATGTTAATGAGCACCATAGTTGTGGTTGGACTGTCGTGATTTGCAAAAGATTATATGCAGTCACTGCCTTACTAATCTAAATTCAATTCAAATCATATCTGTCAGTGTGAACAATTTGTTGAAATATGTCAACTGTTCTGAAGCACTGTGTTTGCCAAGGAGAATTTGTATTTACTTTTAACTCAGTTTAAGAGGTATTTTTGATTGATGGGGTGATCTGCATCGGGAAGTGGAGAAATAGTAGAGTTCACGAATAAAAAAAAAGCTGAAATCTGGAACTTTTTTGGAGGTTATTTTGATATGAAGCCTATTGGCATTTGTATTTATACAAATACAGTTATTTATCTATAGACACAACAATAGTTCTAATTCCTTTGCCCTGTTTTTTTTTTCTTTATTAAGATGAAGAATTGTGTTCAGAGAATATAGTTTTGCAGCTCAAAAGTCAACTTATCTTATTCTTTTCTCTCCTGGGCAATTGCTGAATTGATTCTATTCATTAAAAATACAGATGTTGCTCCCAGTCAATGTTGTAATGCTTTGGACCTGATTTAACCTTTGCACAAGCACATAGGTTTTGAATAGGTTAAAATTAAGCCCATTGTTTTGAACTGTCCATGGCAGCATCTGTGAAGTAAAATCAGAGTTAACGTTTTGAGTTCAGTGACTGTTCTGAGGAAGGATGCTGCCAGACCTGCTGAGTTTTTCCAGCAACTTCTGTTTTTGTTCTGCACCATTCTGTCTGATTATGGGTTATCTACTTTTCCTCTGGCTCCCTCACCTTTCTCCATATCCTCATTTACAATGTATCCCAGTCTTAAAATTGCAACTGAATTAGCATCTGTATTAAATATTCCCACCAAGGTACTGTGGTTGACATATGTTAAAGGAAAAGATTTTTGTTTCTAGTTTCTTTGGAGACAAAAGCATCTGGTCAAGGCTTTCCATTGAATTTTCCTGGTACAATATGTTAAAAAAAAGGGGGATTCTTTGTAGTAGGGAAAGTAAGATCTTCAAATAACAGTCAACATTCTAAATTTCTAACTTAAAGTCTCAAAAATTAAAGTAATCATTATTATTTCTCTTCACTTCATACAGGTAATAATTGATGATAAGTGATACTAAGACAAGATTCATTGCAGAAATCAAAGTTCTACCTACAACACCCCCACCAATAGTTTTTACAGTAATCTTAAACCATTGATCAACATTGTATTTACTTATAGGCACCAAGCCTCGATCTGTAAAAATGATCTGTCCCATTTTATCTAGGTTTCTTAAACAGCCACAATATCAAGTATTCATGTATCCAAACGAAATGTATTTACATGATAAGATGAAAAGAAATCCTCAGCTTTGTGGGATATATCTCTACTAATTCTAGCATTGCCATTTTATTAGACTAGATTCCAAAACTTTACAATTTTAATTATTGTCGTTGTACACAATATGGTGTCCTTTACAAGACAAGCTGTAGCAACTAAACAGAGACAAATACTATTGGTCCACAAAGATTTACTTTGTAATTAATTGTGCATGCTCATACTAATGATCAATTCTTAGTATAGTTATTATAGTTTGCAGTTAATATATATTCCAATGTGAATTAAGCAACACCTTGCCTCCTATATACGTATTGAGGATTCCTTCACTTCCTCATTGTTAATGAAACAAGATGCCGCTGTGATCTTGAATAAGTAACTGTAGGTGTCACCTGGAGTTAATGTGGCTAACTGAATTGTTGAAATCTGAGCATCAAAGCACAATGAGGAGCAAATTATTCAGTTTAAACAAGAGTACCAAGAGAAAATCTCTCAAATGGAGGTATCTTCCATAGGATTGATATAGAAGAACATAATGAACAACTGATGTTGTACTTTCAATGCTCCACCATAATCCGAGAGTATGAAGATAAAAGAATGCAATCCCAATATGCCATAGGATAGCTAAACAGTGAATCTTGTTGCATAGACTGAAGCACAAATATTGAAACTGTAGACTCCAATTTCTTTTTTGCATTATCACAAAGGGTGGTTATCTTAGCAGGTGAACTGTCCAAATGATATAAGACACATGTCATTGTGAAAATCCAGTAGTTCTCTTCTATATCATGCCAAGGTGTTGCCATTTATATCTCCGCAGAATCGACTGAAGGTTACCTTCAGGGAAATGTGGGGAACCATCCAGTGGCACTCTAGCCGATGTGCCACTCATCCTGAAAATGATCCTGTGGAGGGTATCTCCAGTGAAGATTTCTCCCAAAGTCCAACAGATAGGTGCAAATGTAATCTGTAAATAAGAAAGCATGAAATGAGAAAAGGCCCTTCAGGCCATCAATGCTCTTTTTTTTCCCAAAATCCATGTGCAATCCATTCTAGTGCAGGTACCACGATATGTATTTACTTACTTCAGGGAATGTTCTCAGGCAAAATCTCTTCCTGACCTCTACTCAATCAAGGAAAACGTCAAAAAATCCAGTTCTGTCCACACATTCCTATGGCCTTCAATCCTATTTCCAACCTGCCATGTATCCAGATTGTTTTTTCAGAAGCTAATTGCCATACATAGGATACATTTTTTTAATGGAATCTGTCCCACATCCACTGTTCTGTTGCAGAAGGTCCTCTAATTTAGCTTAGTAGTTGCAGGTCCGGTTTTGTGCTCACACAGCCTCTTTACATCTATATTATTCAAACTTAACATTTTGAAGGGCTGTATATGATCAGTCTTCTCCAATTAAAACAGTTCTGCAACTGCATTCATCCTTGTTACTCTTCTCTGATCTCTCCGTAGTGTATCAATTCCATTTGAAGGCAGCACGCCCTACGTGTAAAACGCTAATATTGATCTTAGTCACTGGAAAGTTAAGATAATTTGACTTTCTTATCCTACTGTTAACTGCTCAGCATTGCAGAAAATGTGTAGCAATAACATCCAAGTAGTTCTCTTCTGATAGTTTGTCAATAAAAGCAAACTAATGATTCATTTCGTATTCTCTAATGTATATTGCCTCATGTTCAATCACATAAAACTTATTCCATAAGCTATTCACTTAACTTTTTGAAGTTGCACATCTGTTCTATCTCTTGTGTTATGTCTCACAGCTAGTATACAATATATACTTAAGGCACATGCTCATGATAGGATTGTTGTGTAATGCCATGAGATCTCATGGTATAAAGATCTCACTCTTCATCCTATTGAGGCCCTTTTCAGCATGACATGCTGAGGGAAGCGTGCTACAACTGACATTCAAATTGCTTAGCTGTAGCCCAGCCACACAAGATTGTAGCATATGTAGATACCAGCAGCTATAATGAAAGGTTATTGAATCATTTAGTATTATGTTATCCATATCTCATTCTTATGTTACAGGGACTAATATAATTATCAACTCATCGGGTATCTCACTGAACGTAAAAAGTATATCACTAACTATGGCAGAACATGAGGACAGAACAGATCTAGGTGAACAGTGGTGGCTGTTCATAGAGAAATGACTCTGATATCACATAATGCAGCATCCTGGTAGTAGCCTGATGTTGAGCAGCAGTACCCACTTGTAAAAGGATCCAGAATTCTGTCTGCAGTATCTTTGAAACTCCACTGAAGATTACACAGCCCTGGTCTTAAAGCAAAGGCTGACAGCAACAAGCTTATGTGAGTACTCCTCTGCAAACAAAATACCATGGAGGCAGCCTTATCTTCTTTCTATTTAAAAATCTATCAAGCTATTAGTTCCACACAGCTTTTACAAGAATAATATCAGCTTGCTTCCTCACTTAAAAATAACATAAAGAGCCAAAATAATTCAATTAAAGTAAGTGGACACTGTTAATTTAACTATAGAAACCTCTTAGCTGGAAAAATAATATTTTATTCTGATGTTACAGGAGCCACCAAAAGTACCATTTTATTAGATACAAATACTCTGCTCGAGGTATAAAGCCCGTCACTATAGCTACAACAGATTATGAGGGCCTAACAGAGCTGGGTTTGCAGCACTGGCCATTTACAAAGAAATGACTCCCAGATATCACAGCATACTGGTAGTTATACATTAACGAAGATAAGTGAAAGGTCAGGTCCATAGTGGAGAGCACCACCACGTTTGAAAAAAGTAGAATGGTAGATCAGGTAAACCAGAACAAACCACTTTCGAATATATCAAGGAGATAGCCTAGACCCTAACTTTTATCCTATTTAAATGCAAGTATAAGGTGCTGTGTTCCAGATTTAATTTGAATAGGTACACTACTCAGCTTTAAGCAAAACACGTTATCCTTACCCTATACGGTTAAAGTATAAACAACGAAAGACGAATAAGTAAACCTTTAATTTGAGTGGAAAATCTAACAGAATAATAGATTTTTTAATTACTAAACAGCAACTGTTCCAACATAATAACATCCCACAGATACACCCTTGGCAAAGACAAATTCAGAAAAAAATAGATTGTCTCATGTGCAATGTTTCTCCAGTCCAGGAGAAAAGAACATCAAGAGAAAATTCTGGCAGAGAGAAAGAACTCAAGCATTTTGCCGTAGCAGGGTGAGATGTATGGCAGTTTCAAAACTCCAACAACTACTGAAAGCTAAACTAAAACCCTGGCTCTGTGGGAGCCTGACTCCATCCATTCGTGCTGCTTCTATTGTTCCAATGTAAAAACAAACCCAAGCTCTCACAAGCTGTTTACTTTATTGGCTTTGAATAGACAGCCCATCACCTATGGCTCAAAACGTCTATTAAAAAAAGAACAGATTACATAAACATGGCTTCATTTTAAAAAACTTTTTGTCTTATTAATATACTACAATGCATACATATTATATTGACACTAAGCATGCAAACATTCAATACTACAGCCTATTTCGGTCAGTTTCTTCGACAATCGAACACCTTTGTCTTTTGAAATCAACATTAGGACAATACGTCAGCAATTATGTTCTCTTGTCCTGCCATGTGTATATTTTTCAAATTAAATGACTGTTAAAATAAACTCCATCTAAATAGTCTGGTATGTTTATCTTTAAACTTTTTTCAAAAATGTTAAGGAGTTATAATCAGTATGTACAATTGTTTTAGATATCACTGGCAACATAAACGTTGAAATGTTGTAACGCCAACGCCAAACTCAGGATCTCCTTCTCAATTTTGGAATATTTCTGTTGATCAATATCTAACTGTCTCAAAAAATACCCGATACACCTTTATATCTTGTTGTCATCTTCTTACAAGAGAACAGCACCGAAACCCACCTCACTCACATTGATAGCCACCTTGAATGGCTTTGCAGAATTAGGTGTGGCTAACAGTGGGGCAGCGGTTAACACAGCTTTCAGACTCTTTCTAATGTCTTCTGACATTCCTCCATCCACTGAAATTTTCTGCACTTCTTCAACAAGTCAGTCAGTTGAGCAAGCACTCTGCTAAAATTTGATGTAGATTTTCAATAAAAACCATTCAGTTCCAGGAATCGTAGTACTTTCCTCTTTGTCAATGGTATGGGAAACTCCCCAATAGTGTTTGTTTTCACATCCTGGGGGGCCATCTGTCCATGTCCAATGATATGGTCTTGGGCTTTTGTGAACTCGCTCTTAGCCAGGTTTATCACCTGGCCCGCCTTCTGAAGTTGATTAAACAATTCTGATAGATGCTCCAAATGTTCCTTCCATGTGTGACTAACAAACACCAGATCGTCTATGTACACCACACAGTTGGGTAACCCAAAACGATTTTATTGGTTAGTCTTTGAAATGTAGCTGGTGCATTTTTCATTCCAAATAAGTCATAGAGTCATGGAGTTGTACAGCATTGAAACAGACCTTTCGATCTAAATCATCCACGCTGACTAGAAATCCTAAACTGATCTAGTCTCATTTATCAGCATTTCGCCTATAGCCCTCTAAACCAGCATAACTTTAAACTGGTAAAGTCCATTCAGTATCGCTAAAGCCAAAATTTCCTTTGCTCAATCAGATAAAAGGTACTTGCCAGTATCCTTTGAGTAAGTCCAACTTAGAAATATAAGTTGTTTGTCCCACCTTGTCAATACAACTTTTCAGCCATGGAATACAATATGAATCAGATTTTGGAGCTGCATTAACTTTGTAGTAATCATTACGTAGACATACCCTCGCCAAAATGGCGATGGAGTAGCAGTGCAACGTGGGGGTTCCTCTACCACTTGCCTGGAGCTCATCTATATTGTCCGCAATACATTTTTTTCCTCTTTCTATGCTTTTGTTTAAATGTTTCCATTAATTATCTGACCTTCTTTTAATGAATTTGCTGTAAGACATCTTTTCCCGGCCCTGGACTAGTGATGAGGTGTCTTCCAGTGGCCTGGAATGCACCTGGTCGGGCAGTTTCTCAGTGTGGCGGTCTCCTGGTGCGGTAGTCTTGTTCAGGAAGAATGGTATCGGCTTGGCATGACAAACTTGTCTATGTATTGAGGTCTTCTTTGGCAGCTTCCAGGTGTTCCAGCAGCCCAGCGCAGGGGTCTTATCTTGGTATGGAGGTCTCGTCCTTGCTTTGGAGGCAGCTTCCGGGTGTTCCAGCAGATCAGTACGGAGGTCATCCCACTGGTAGGTCTCATTTTGGTGTGGCCTCGGCCCGGCATGGCAGTCCCAGCCTGGCCCTGTGTGGTGGTTTTGGCATAGGTTTCCATGGTAACCCGAACCCAGGAGCCATTAATTGAGCTATGGTGAACTTTTATTTTCCTTTCTTCTTACTTATGACTTCTGTCATTAATTTAGGTGCCATAGTATGGCGACTTTTAAATCTTTTCACTTTTTTTGTAAAAATACACATGGCTATAAATTACAATTCTATTCTATTCTGTTTATCTGGTTTTGACACCACCACTATGGGTAAGCTCCATTCACTGAAACTCACTTCGATATCATTGCCTTTGAACATGCTTTCAATCTTTTTTTGAACCTGTGCCAATTTCAGCGGGTTAAGTCTATAAGGATGTTGCTTAATTGGAACAGCATTTCCTATACCTACATCACGCACAATTAGATTAGTACTTCCTAGCTTAATCCCACATATCTCTCCATTTGATTGTAATAACTCTTTCAGGTCATTTCGATTTTCCTTTAGAAGGTAACTCAATACTTTATCCCAATTTTTGAGAACTTACTTATTATCCAATCTAATTTGAGGAATATCAAATTCAAATTTATCTGGATTTGGTTTTTCACTCCATATTGTAACAAATACCACAATCTCCATTTAGTTTTCTTCCTATTAAAATACTGTTTGAGCATATTCATATGACACACTCCGAGATTTCATTCTATCTGGTGTTATTATCAAATAAATCACCTCACTCAATTTCATTTTGATTTGATAAGGCCCACTAAACCTGCTTGTAAAGGTTCACCTACCACTGGTAGTAATACTAACACTTTATCCCCTTGAGCAAAACTACAAATTTTTGATTTCTTGTCTGCTCCCTGTTTCATCACATGCTATGTTACTTTCAAATGCTATCTAGCCAACTCATCCACTCTATTTATTATTTTGCATATTTGGAAAGAATAAATAGAGCAAGTGAGCTGGCTAAACTACATGTCTCTGAACTCTGACAGACCAATTTTTCTTTAATTAAATTCAGTGGCCCCCTCACCTCATGTTTGAAAACTATTTCAAATGGACTGAATTTAGTTGATTCATTAGGTGCAGCCCTAATTGTAAAAAAGTACAAATGGAATTCCTTTATTCCAATCCTCTGGACAGTCTTGACTATAAGCCCTCAACATGGTCTTTAAAGTTTGATGCCATCGTTCCAATCCTCTTTGCGATTCTGGAAGGTACACAGTTGATTTAAATTGTATTATTCCCAAGCTATTCATAACTGTCTTAAATAATTTTGATTTAAAATTTGACCCTTGATCTGATTTTATTTTTGTGGGTAGGCTGTATATGGTAAAAAATTTGAGTAACTTTTCTATAATTCTTTGAGATGTGATATTGCGTAATGGAATGACCTCTGGAATTCTAGTAGACACATCCATTATGGTCAATAAATATTGATTCCCACTTTTTGTTTTAGGGAGGGGCCCTACACAATCAATTAAAACTCTTGTAAAAGACTCCTCAAATGCTGGAATAGGTGTTACTGGTGCTAGTTTCATCACTGCCTGAGGTTTTCCTATTATATGACATGTTGACATGTCTGACAAAATTCAAACACATCTCTATGCAGTCCAGACCAATAAAAATGTTTTCATATTTTGGCTTCAGTTTTTCTTACTCCCAAATGACCTCCTACTAGTATCTCTTATGTTACCCACAATTCCTCCTTCTATAACCCACTGGAAATACAACTTGATGAATTTCTGCCTGATTATGTAGCAGTCTTCATTTCCTCATTAAGACTTCATTTTTAAGATAGTAGCCTTCTAGGATCCACTCAGATTCTCCTTCTGTGTGTGCTTTTTGATTCAACTAATTTATTTTTTCATCTCTTTATTACTTTTCAACTAACCTCTCTGAACTAAAAATATCCATTTTGTCCTCTACCTGTTCTTGTTGTTTTTCTCAACCATTTCATCAAACATAGTTTCTGATAAGTGAGCTTCAGCTGCCTTATCTTCATTCTTTAATCTTTGCAATCTTGTTACCACGTAGTCAGGAAAAATCCCAGGATATACTTCCTGTAACATCTGTCTTCTGATTTTCCATTGGCTTTTCAACCACAATAGGCATCACTCCTACCTGAGATACAGCTATATCTATTTCTCTATTAATCCTACATCATTTCATCATTTTTTACCAGACTCTTCAATCTCACCTCATACAATGGAACACTGCTCTTCTCACCATGAATTCCACATATTACCACCTTTTCTGGCAATACTCCTTCTGAATTATACATCTCCTCACCTCTCACCATCAAAGATTGATTTACTCCAGTGCCCCTTAAAATTTTAATTTCTTTACCTACTCCTCCTGGCAGACACGAGTAAACCTTACGCTCAAAAGTAAATTCTTTAAAGAGATCTGGCAACCGAACTCTGACCAAGCTGTACATTCTTTTGCAGCTCTTTAGCTTCCACTGGGATCTCCTTTACCACTTGAATAAACTCCACAGACTTCTCTTGTTTTATCACATTTGTCTTCCCAGCATTTTTCTTAAATACTAACACTGTAACTTTGTTACAGTGAAAATACCTCAGGGTTTTTACTTCTCTTCCCTCAGAGGTTTCTTTTTTAACCTGTGGTAAATTGTCTTTACTATCTTCAATGAAATCTCATTTTCATTTACTACCTCAGGATTTCTCTTGTCCCCAATTTCTGTCCCTCACATATTGAACTGATATTTGAAGCAGGAAGTTAATTTTTGAACACCTCCCCTCATAGTGCCAGGGACCCAGGTTTGATTTCAACCTCTGGTGACAGTCCGTGTGGAGTTTGCATGTTCTCCTGTTGGGTGCTCTGGTTTCCTCCCACAGTCCAAAGATGTGCAAGTTAGGTGGATTGGTCATGCTAAATTGCCCATAGTGTTCAGAGATATGTAGGTGAAGTGCATTAGCTACAGGAAATGCAGGGTCACAGGGATAGGGTAGGTGGATGGGTCTGGGTGGGATGCTCTTTGGAGGATCAGTGTGGACTTGTTGGGCCAATTGGCCTGTTTCCACACTGTGGGGTTGTATGACTCTATGTCTGATCTCCAGTTTTATGCACCTATCAAAGTTAATTTGCTTGATTCTTTCAAACCCTATGTACATTTGACCAGGTTCCTTCCTTAGATTCCTAAAACATGGTCTGTAGGCTTTTAGGGAATTAGTAATTGAGGAGAAAGATATGGTACGTGAATTGAACAGATATTTTGTTTTTATTTTCACTTAAGTAGATGAAAGTCCAAAGATGTGCAGGCTAGGTGGATTGGCCATGCTAAATTGTCCATAGTGTTCACGGATGTGTAGATTAGGTGGGTTATAGGGTGATGGGTGTGGGTGCAATGCTCTGAGGGTCGGTGTGGACTTGCTGGGCTGAAGGGCCTGTTTCCACACTGTAGAGATTCTATGAAAGTAGCATCCTAGAAACAGCTGTAAATCAAGAATTGAAAGGGAGGGAGCAACTCAAGAAAATTACAGTGACCAGGGATGTTGTACTCAGTAAATTGTTGGAATTGCGAGTTGACAAGTCATTAGGTCTTCGGGATAGAAGATTAGCTTGCTAACAGGAAGTAGACAGTAGGAACAGGAGGATAATTTTCAAGCTGGCAGATTGTCACAAGTGGTATACTACAAAGGTCAGTGCTGCGACCTCAATACTTCACAATTTACTCAAATGATTTATATGAAGGGATTGAAGGTATGGTAGCTAAATTTACTGATGGCATAAGGATAAG